GTAATTCCACTCCCAATGTACCCCTTAACCCATCCTGTCTGTGGGTTTTGAACCGGCTCAAAACCGATTCGGGTACGTAGTCATCCTGAGTTAACCACGTTTCAAACAGGACAATTACGTAGGCCATCGTACCCGCAGCAACTGCCCATTTGTTTCTGATACTGTAGTATCAGAAATGCACGCATTGGCGTGCAATATTACCAGAGCACCCTTGTCCCTTAGATGGTGCTTTTCATTTACTCGGATTTTCTCCTTAGGCATAAAACACCCGAGTAGAAAACCTGTTTTTTGGCTGGACTAGGTTACCAGCCGCTACTGCGAACACCGCTTTTTCATCCCGGGAAACTTGGAAAGATATGCAGGTCCTGGTGACAGCATAGGCTGTTCTGAGTCGGTTTTATCCAGTCCGATTTGGGAACCCGTCTATAAGGTGGAGTACTCCAAGATATCCTCAATTATTACCATATTTGAGTTTACTAGGACCCGTGATGTTTTTGGCAGTTGCTTTGGAGAAGCCGTATTACTCTCGCGCCCGGTCATGTAGTTATGCAGTCTCCTATTTGGTACCCGCACTTACGGTTCATCGGGTACGATTTTTAATCGCCGTTTTTGGCGCTCCACGCTAAGTCTGCTTGGGATAGTAGCAGATCCCTATTCAGTGGTTTATCAAACTCTACTAGTATGGGTATGGCGGGCGCCTGCGGTGCTTCGGGGGTGGTGTTTTCCACCTTCCAACCCGGTGCACTCTGCTAATTTCTATGTTTACCGGAGCCCCGACTAGCTTACGTATGTCGCAGACAATAGTCCTGTCTATTTCACCCATTGGCTTTTAACTCTCTTATATTCGGCTCCTCATTGTTAAGTACGAAGAGGTTTCTTCGAAGTGAGGATACGTACTGCAAGGATAATACTCACTTGCTTTTTAAGATCTTGGAGCTCAACTTATAATCTGTCTCTATTCCGTTGTGAGGGAATGACATTTCTACTGACTCCAGGCTTAGACCCTCCGTGAGACTTAGAACGGCTTGCACCCTGACGTGCCTTGGGGTTCACCACAGGGAACGGCTTATTTAGTGGTGTGGATAGGGCTGCTACCTTCCAGGTCCTAGACAAAACTGTTTGTCAAGAACTCTCACCTTGCAACTTTCTATTTTCTTGGATAGAGGCGACCTGAGCGTAAGATTTTGAGATTTCCCTGGTCGATTCCGAATTTTTAGGACTGTCTCAATGCTCACGGAACAGCCTGATCCTGGCCTCTGGGCGCTGCTCCGCGAGCGTTGACCTGGCCGCATCCTTATACTGCTCACAGATTTCTTCTAGCTAGCTTTTTCCGCAATTGTAGGCATAGTGGTCTTTACTTATGCCTAAACATCCAGAATGCGCTCACTATTTACAGGTTTCACACAGAATTCCCTTAACTACTTTCTTTCCGCAGCTGCTCTTCGGACATTGGCAGGATATTCGCGTCATTACAAGGTGCATACTCATTGGTGAACAGGCGATAAAAACGAAAGTGATAACAGACAACGGTAAGCATAAACGATACGTAAAAACGTTACACTAGGTCAGTTCAGTTCAATTCAGTTTTCATAGGACGAAATATGGCACCTGCCAATCGAGCGTCCAGTTCGTTGTGTTGTCGGCGGACGGGAGTAGCCTCCAACACTGCGTACAGTTGTTTAGGTGTTTGTGGTCCTCGCAATTTAGCCCCGTTGCCAGAACGTTGACTACGTGGGGCTATGCTGAAACAGAGGAGAGCAAGCAAGGTGAACAATCTAATAGGCTATGCACGGAGGTTTGGTCCGCGCTACTATGTGCTCTTCAAAAAAGCACTGAAAAACAATTTAGATTAAATACTCAGAACTTAAAAATTGTGAAGCAATATAAGGTATCAATTAGTGGCAATTGACCTTTACTTTTACGATCGTAAGACGATGCAAAGCACAGCACGTAAAAATGTTTTTTCCTCTTATTTTAGATAACTCAAGAACTCATAAACTGGCAATAAAACCAATTAGCAAGCGTGTCAGTCCCAGGAAAGATAACATCATCACCGCTCATAGAGGAATGCCTCCTTACGTCCGAAATAACAAAATAACACGATTGCCGCATAACCGTAGTGCTCCTGAGCTCATTGATGCAAGAAACTGAACTGTTTCTAGCTCCCTTACAAGTCCTGTGACCTATCCTGAAATTTGAATGTGAACTAAACTGCAATAGATAAATGAACTTCAAGGTCATCGTGTTACCCGCAAGTATAAATTAGTCATTTGGTTACAAAAATTGCTTTCGTTGCGTGTGGCATAGTTCTTTGAATATTTCTGTTGATAATACGCGAAAAGTGATCGGAAAGTTGTAATTAGGTAAGTCCATTGCGAAAATTTCAAGATTTGTTATTATTAGTTGCTATTATCATAAAATAAACCAGTTTACTCCAGAGCGAACTGGTCAAGTATCTTGTTTATCATGGATATGGTAAACAAGCTAATCTAATCTCATTGGATCGATGAACTACAAAATAATATTGTAGTATAAAAACTCAAAATTCCTTTGCATCTTTTGTACTGTTCACAATTGTATCTTAATCTGTCACATCTGAGTTTTATATTTCGTTGTATGCATAACAAAATTATATAATTGGCTCATGTGTGCTGTAAGACGAAACATGGTTGTATATGTAACCATGCTTACTCACAAATGACTTAATGGTGCAAACAATTGCGATCCGTTGACGGAATATTCATATTCCGTCGGCGCCATGGCGCCGCATCCCCTCGCAGCTATGTGTATGCAGTCATTTTGTTCGTATTTTTTGTCCCTTATGCTCATAATAAGTAGTTTCATCCATTGAGTAGTTCGCATGAATATTTCTCGCTACAAAATCACGAATAAAATATGACATCACTCAACTATTAATAGATTAACCTATCGAATAGGCAATTTTCAACGCAAATTTGTATCGCTTACTTGCTCCGTGAATCTGCGGAAACCCTTTAAGAAGGTGCACTTGATATGCCTGCTTTTATGCTGGAGTTCCTTTTTCAGAACGAGGGTAAGTTCAATATGAACCTGGATTTTGGTTTCTTATTTACTTTTCATATCTTTCTTAGTTGTAACTATCCCCTTGGAGTATATTATAGTGGGTCTTCGTGGGACATGAGAATTTCCATGTAGAACAATAATGTAGTAATGCAACAGCCATCTCAGTGGCTGATTTCAAATACCATTTGGAAAAATGATGGGATAGTCTGTTCATCGGAGTAGAGTAACGTGTCAAATTGCTGAAGCCTGTCTCCCTCTTTACCCCACTTCATTTCAATGGCCCTCTGCTCCCCCGCTTCCACTTCCTCTCTTCACCTAACCCTAGAATGCTGCTTTTAGACCTAGGAGTTTTCATCCTTATGAGCTTCGAGGTTTCTAGTGTGATTTCCACATCAGAGGGGGCAGTGGACAACACGGAGCTTGCACAAACATCCACCGATTGAGGTGCTGTGGCTAAGGGTTTTCTCCTAGTCGTCCCTCCATCTGCATCTCATTGAGAATGAACCCTTTCATCCTATTGTCGCAGCACCGGGGATCCTTGGAGCTCACTAGTGCAAGAAACTGGAAGACCTGACTAGATAGCGTCGATGTCCTGAGTACCGAGCTGAACATTACCCTGTTCGTCGCTTTGCACACACATATATAGATATATACATTTTATAAGTGACACAAAACTAGCTGGTTACGAATGAACATATTTTTTTAAAGGAATATTTGTAACGATAAATAATACTGCTATCATTAAAGGGCAGCTTTATGTAAGGGCTTTCATGAATCAATATGATTCACTGAAAGTAAAACTCCTAACTCTAGAAATAAATAAAATAAAATAAATTTATTTTACTTTCTTTTTATTTTTTGAGTAAACAAATGTACAATCAAATTTCAGGAAGGGAGCTGCGGCCATACAAAGACTGTCTGGGAAAATACAAAAACGGGAAAGATGAGCAGCAGAGGAGCGATTCGAACCCGGGACTCCCTGGTGACGGCTTGATGATTCAATCACTTATAGATTAAAAATATGGAGTATAATTGCACCCATGTGGAAACACTTTTCCCGCTAAGAATTTCAACTGTAAATTTAAAAACGAGAATTGATTAAGCACAGCCCCGAGTACACCTTTTAGTTGCAAACGAAAGCGCACACCGTAAAACCCAAGTTAGAGCGAACTTTGAGTTGATTCGTTTTTGCCAAATGAAAATTGACTTAAGTTTTAAGACATTGAAACATGAGTGTGCATTCTGATCTTTTCTGAAGAACACTGTAATAAGGTTTTGCGTTATTTCTTAAGCTTTAGGGAAAATTAATCCACGTAAAAATATAGGAATGATGAATTCCTTTTCTGGGGAAAGGTTCTAAGCTTTATATGTTAGAAATGTTCTGAAGTCGTTTGTTGTTCTCATGACGAAGACATGGGATATTAGACATATCAGTTATACTACATCAAAATGCGTAGGCTTTACTGAGGAATTAAATATCTGTTATGGGCAACCACTTGCTGAAAATAGGATTATCATTATTGGACAGACATAAGCGAGAAATGAACAGAAATATATAACCTAAGGAAGATTCAATAGATCAATAGAGCATCAAACGTGGGGTATTTATATTTGTCATCACATTTTGTCTTCAGACTTCCATATGCAGAAGCTTCACCACTGCCTTCAATTCAACAAAGATATATTATACTACCGTTCATTGAGAAAGCGCTCGCTTTCTATTGTGTTGCCTTGCTTCTTCACTGCTTCTCTCTGCCTATAAGAGAACTATTTGCAACTTGATTCCTTAGTGTTTTGCTTCGATGATGTTCACCGTGAAATCAATTTATTCCTGTAATAAACTTTGTTCAAATTCATTACTTTTGCACTTGGAAAAAGAAAATGATTTTTTCATTTTCTTCAACTCTTTTGATTTCCCTTTTGTCAGTTGGTTTGAATGTGCGCATCTTCCTACAGGCATGTCGAAATCTAATGGAATAAAGTGAGTGCATTTAATTAAGAGGTCTGCGCTCAATCATTACTCCATATATTCATGTGGTCCTTTTGCTTTGACGGGATATCATTCCCTTATTATACCTTAACTTCTCCAAATGTGCTGGTTTACGGTATATGGTTTGTGGTGGGATATCTTTGACTTCGATAAAAGTGGTTTTCTTTTCATTGATTTTATGGTTAGTAATAAGTATTCGTAAGTGAAGCCAACCCACAACGAGTCCACCAACAGTCGAAAAGTCCCCTCTGATTTTTTTAAAAAGAATTTAAGCAAACGAATAAACAAAAGGTGAAATTTAATTGACCACATTCTTCTTCTAGTGGCACACAAGACCGACAGTTTACCGAAACTTAGAAGCTTTTGAAATGTTTTTGTTAGGTCAAAAGAAACAACAGTCAGCATGCACTTCAATACAAATCGTTGGCTTACATAAGCTTCTGTTCCGCTGGGACCTTGTTTATTTTACTGGGAACGCGGCAGGAACTGACGAACAACTTTCTAAAAAGACGTTTATAATTTATTTGTACTCAGTATCAGTATGCTTACTTTATACTTCTGCCGGGACTTCGTTTGTTAAGTTAACAGCGCTATCTGCGTTAAACGGTACGTGACAATTATTTTGAGCGCTTGACCACAGCAGGTTGTTTAGGAGATGATCTTAAGGAGTAGTACCAATCGCTATTTAACGTTCACAGTAATATCTATGAGGCCACTTTGTTGTCACATTCTAGTCACTGATGACAACCTCAACCACGAAGAATTCTGTATCCATTCGAGAGTTGGCCGCGTCCTGGGAAAATTTTGTAAATTCGTTCGTGTATTTTATGCATTTAACCAAGCATCCAAACTGGATGTGATAATGTCAGTGGTAGCAGCAGTAGTAGTAGTGGTCGTTTTGGTGAAGGAAAGGATCGAAAACAAAAGCGGACATTGCCAAATATTTCCGAGTTCTTTATTACTTGACGCAGACGCTCTTGAAACACAAACAGACGGATGATAGAAACCGAGACCTGGAATGAAACACCACTTTCTCGATTCACTTTGAACACAAGCTTTCTTGCTCCTCTGTGCGTTTGAACAGAGACTGCCGGATAAAGATAAATATCAGAACTGATGTAAAATGATTGTAGCTCAAGATGCGGATGTTGGTGTTGTTGCACTGATAACACTGCTTAACTTGGCTACTAAACGTCTGCGAACTACACTTTCAGCCCGAAAAACTTACCAACACGAACAGAAAGAAAGAATTTTCGCTAGTATATACTTCGGCGGGCACGAGTGCTAGGGCACGGAAAAACTCAATCAAGTGGAACGATAGCATCAGATTAGGAAAATACACATAATGAGCTCACAGTTAAAATTGAGAACAGTGAAAAACAGTGACCACGCCCTAATTGTAAAAGTTCGTCTCTCAATGATGAATAATAAGACATCATAAATCACAGAAATCTGTTTTTTTCATCTCAGACATCAAAGTTTATGCTGATGATGTGTAGGCGAATGGTCCAATTGCTATTGCGATCGAAAGTCTTCTGCTTCCTTGACGGAAACAAATTATTGATTGATTGTGTGCAAACCTAAGCGGGATTGGATCGAAACGAGGAGCGAACTCGGACTCAGATCTATCCTCATACACAAAGTGAACGAAATCATCACTTGCCATTTTTCCCGGTCAACCCATTCTGTCTCGGTGATATCATTCTTGCATTCCCGTATAGAACAGAAAACACGTTGTTTCTCTTGATACAAGCGACTGCCTACTTTAAACGCGACGAGTAAACAACGACCCCCTGGGTACGTTATGTGTGAACAAGTCTTTTGATATTGATAATATGTGCTTATGCAGCGGTCAATAAAGCTTCAATCCACATCAAGAATTTTGATCGCAAGAGTTTAAAGACTCTATAATTGTTTGTTGGGATAGATGGGGAAAAGAACTATGTTCACTGAAATTCAAATTCATCTCACAGTTACTTTTGACTGGAGTGCGATAATCGATGTTGATCAAGGCTAACCATTCTTCAGACTCGGTCTTCGTATACACTCCTCAGTTCATCCGAGTTCACCAAAATTCTTTTGTTTTCCACGAAAGGGCATGATTATGAGTTTGATAGCGAACAAGTAGTCCGTAGGCATGTTTTCCTGAACACATCGGACGACAATTTCGATGGAACGAGTGAAGGACCAAACAAGAGATGCATCACATGACTGGAAGTCTTGTTAATTAGGGAAATCAGCCTTATGGTAAGTATTCCACAAATGGTAGCAC